TGTGATTCCTGAAAGGAGAGGGCAACTGTCATCATACAGGACAGAACACAACCTCCAGGCATCCAGCAATGGGAGCACATTTGCATCGCTGACATTCATCACTGCTCTCCTCTGCTCTTCTGTCGAATAGATGGAAACCCACTAAAACAGCTTACAGACAAAGGCCACCAGAAACAGATGATTGCGCAATGCCAAGACACATGGCCTGAAGAAAGAAAGAAAACAGCTGATCTGCAAGGAACACATCTTGGATCTTGATACATAGGCACAGAATTCATTCAAACAATTATACGAGCACGCGGCATCAATCTGCTATTGCATTGCCACACACTCACAACACAGTTCCCTACCCTCTTCCAATCGCAAAGGCGCATTGAATTCCACAGTCCACAAGCCGGAGAGCATGTCAAAAGTCAGGATTTAAAATGCGCAAGAAAAGGTACAGCGTGAAAGGCTGACGAATGTTTGAGGAGTTTGTCCCCCTGAACAGCCCACACACTTTTGATGGATTGATTGATTGATTGATTGATTGATCGATGGATGGATTGATTGATTAATCTTGTTAAAGTGGGCAGCTGTTCTCAAAACTGGCTTGCTGCTTCCGACAAAGCTCGAACTCGCTGCCGTAGTAGTCCATACATTTTGCATACCCGTCCATTTCCTTCGGGCACTTCAGATGGAGCTCCTTCAGCCTGGATCACCAACACATAATCGATCAATAATATTCAATATCGACAAAACCACCCATGTGGGATCGTGGGATGACACAGATATTGAAAGACAACGACACCTGCATTATGGATGCATTTAATGAGTAAAAAAAAACGGCACATTGACAGATGGATTACAGACTGAGTAGCTGGAAGTTATTTCAACGCGGGTCCCGCGTTGCTCCTTTCAATGCGCGTTGGAAACGCAGGGAAACTGTGACGAACCCCCTGTTTATTGCGGTTCACCGCGACCCGGGAATATTTTTTTCGCAGGCCAAAAATGAGGGGGGGGGGGAAACAAAAAATATAAGGTTGTAGATCTTTTCAATAGCTACAACCCACCATTTTTTATTTTATTTTTTGAATATCCATTATATTAAAAAAAAATCGAAAACCATACAAAGAAAGAAAAGAAAAGAAAAAAGACGAAATGGGTGGGTTTTACTTTTTTTCACAGAGATTTTTTTTTTGTGGGATAAAACTAAGCAAATAAAAAATATAGGGTTGTACCTCTGGTTGTAGATCTTTTGCAGAGCTACAACCCCATGTTTTTTTTTGTTTTTTTTTACTTTATATGTATTTTAAAAAAAAAACATAAAACTTTATTAAAAAGTTAAAAACCACACACACACACACACACACACACACACACACACGCACACAAACACACACGCACACAAACACACACACACACACATGGACACAAACACACACACACACA